TTATAGTAAGTTTTGTAGGAAAAAGTGTTCTTGGTTCTTTATGTACCTATGTTTTGTCTTGCACTTTCTTTGTAGTATCTTTAGGATTTTCTGCATATAGACTCATGCCACTTGTGAGTAAAGACAAACTTACTGTTTCTTTCCCAAGCTATTTGCATTTCCTTGCTTTTCGTGCCTAATATGGTGAGCACTGATATCTCTGCCTTATTCCCAATCTATTCTCTATCTTTTACTGTTAAGTTTGATGCCACATGTAGGTTTTTCATAGAAGCCCTTAATAAAGTCAAGAAAGTTTCCTTCACTTCTTAGTTTTTAAAAAAGTTTTAATCATGAATGGTGTTGATTTTTTGAGGCACTTTTTCTGCAATCAGTTTTATCCATCATTCATATGTTGTAATCATTGATTTTTGGATGTTAAACAAACCTTGCATTCCTGGGATAAATTTTATTTGGTCATGGTGTGTAATTTTTTTTTTCTGTTTTTTTTTTTTTCTTTGTACCAGGGATCAAACTCAGGACCTTGCACTTGCGAGGCAGGCGAGGTGCCACTGAGCTAAATCCCAGGCCCGTTTTCTGGTTTTTTTGAGGCAGGACCTCACTATGTAGCTCAGGCTGGCCTTGAACTTGCTATGTAGTCCATGCTAGTCTCCAACTCACAGCGATCCTCTTGCCTCAGCCTCAGTGCTGGGATTTCAGGTGTGCACCATCATGCCTGGCTCCATGGTGTGTAATTTTCTTTTTTTTTTTTTACATGATTCTGGATTTGGTTTGGTAACATTTTGTTAAGAATTATTGCAATGTGCAGACACTGGTTGGTGGTTTTGTTGTGTCTTTGCTAGGGCAATACTATCCTTATAGGATATATTGGACAGTCTTCCCTCTTCATCTATACTTTAAAGGAGTCATGTAAGCTTGGTAAATATGGCACAGAATTCATCAGTTATCTGGACATGGGCATTTCTTCATGAGACGATTTAAAAACTATTGTTTGAATTTCTTTATCTGAATCAGGATTTTCAGTTTCCTCAAGTCAGTTTTGCTAATTTCTTTCTTTCTAAACATTTTTCCATTTCATCTGAGTTGTCAAATGTGTCGGCATAAAGTTGTTCATAATATTCACTTATTCTTCAAATTTCTGTGGAGTCACCAGTGATGCTCTCTTACATTCTTGATTTTGCCAATTTGTGTCTTCTCTGTTTATTCTTAGTTGAGTTAGTTAAACGTTTATCAATTTTGTTGATCTTTCTAAGAGCCAACTTTTTATTTCCTAGCTTTTTTCTACTGTTCTGTTTTCTAGTTAGCTGATTTCTGCTCTGAGCTTCATTTCTTTTCCTTATGCCTTCTTGAGTTTAATCCCCCCATCCCATCTCTGTCTCTGTCTCTCTCTCTCTCTCTCTTTCTCTTCTTAAGCTGGAAGCTTAAATTATTGATTGAGAGCTTTTTACTTTTCTAAGTCCTATTTGGCCCTGTTCTGCTCATTTTGATGTGCTGTATCTTTGTTATGTTCAGCTAAAAATATTTCTGATTTCAACTATGATTTTTTTCCCCTTTAACCCATGGCCTTCCCTCCACCACCCTGTTCTGGGAATTGAACTCCGGACCTTGCACTTGCCAGGCAGGTGTGGTGCTGCTGAGGCACACTCTCAGGCTGCCATGGGCTTTTAAAAAATAAAAATATGTTAATTTCTTTTAAAAATGGACGCTTACTCAAATTTCTTCCTTTTTCTATTATTTAATTCATTTGTGGCTGTAGAACATATTTTAAATGATTTAAATTATTTTAAATATATTACAGCCTAGTATATGGTCTAACTTGGAGATTGTTCCATGTCCTTTTGAAAAAAAAATGTGTATTCATTATTTTGGGGCAGAGTGTTCTACAAATGTTAGTAAAGTTGGTTGATAGGGTTGTTCAAATCTTCTTTTATTGATTTTCTGTCTAGTTGTTCTCTTAATAATTAAAAGCAGGGTATTAAGCTCTCTAACTACAATTATTGTTTTGTGTTTTTTTCAGCTATATCCAGTTTTGCTTCATAAATGTGACTCTGCGGTCAGGCACAAGCATTCTTTGTTATGAGGAGGGTACAGGGTTCTGACTTGAATTTCCCACAACCATTCTCCCCATTCCCTCTTGGGACACTGGGCCCCCCATTTTCTCCCTCTTCTGCTGCCAGTACACCAGTAAAAAAGTGGGACCATGAACTTGTTGAACCAGTATCCCATTTTGCCAGCTTAGTAGTAATTTTCTGTTCCATGTTTGGGAGCTATAATGAGGCTTCTTCCCTCATTGGGGAGAGGAATAAAAGACTCTGGACTCCCCCAAAAGAATGCATAACACTTGGCTTTTCTGACCCCCAGGCTTTGGTCATGAAAATGCCTGGACAGAATCTATCCCAGCAAAGGGTGCAGAGCTTTCCCTGTTGCTCCTCTCTTATGAGGATGTTGAGATTGTCTGACTGCTCCTCAATTAACGAAACACGTATGTGATGCAGAAACGCTCAGTTATGACCTCACACTCTCACACCCTTCCACTCATCCCATCCCCTTCCCTCACATGTGTTGGAGAACACTGTTTTATAAAGGACATCTGAGCACTATGATGAATGCCACATGGAAGCCTAGATTTGGGTGCTAGAATTTTGCAGAATTATGAAAGGGAGCGAGGAGGGTAAGTGGAGTGAGAAGACACTAACCATGTACAGTCCACCCCCTTAAGACAGTGATTTCACAGAGTGAGCTTTCACAAGATCAGAGAATGAGGCCAAATCTGTTTCATTCTTCAGATGGAGATGGAGAGGGTGGCAGCTGGGAGAAGCAGGGAGATGCTCCAGGAGGAGCTGAGCATGATGCTCTCCACCAGAGCAGCTCTGAGGTTCATGGTTCCAAAATCAAGACACAGCTGGACAGGCTGCATCCCTGCCAGGCCACTCAGATATTCATTGTCAAATTGATGAACTGGAAATAAAGAGAAAAAGATAAGGGCTTATCTCTCCAGCATCAGGAATGGCCCCAGTTTGCTAATGACAATGGGAGCTCTGGCCATTTGATCATTTTGCCTGCAAAGTTGGACTTCTGCCTCCATATGAAGCCAAACTTAAAAAATTAACAAATTCTCAGCATTTTAAGTTCTCTAAAGGTCCTTTGCAATTTATCTTACATCAAGCACAGACAGTGAGAGAGGGATGGTAGCATGTGCTCTCTCTCTCTCTGTTGGGTGAGGGGATCCCTCGCCAAGGTACAATGGCTGGGCAGTGTGAGGAGCCTTTCTCCTTGGTGAGGAGCCCCTGTGCCTGGGGGGAGAGGTAACTCTGGCACTGCAAGGCTGCTGTGAAGGAAGCAGGGTCCAGGCATGTGGTCTATATATGAGAGCTCCCGGGGATGTGTGTGAAGTTCCTCTCATCCCCTCTCCTCTCCTCTTTTCCCCATCCAAGTCCATCCCACTTCTTCTTCCTGCCAGGCTTGCAGATCACAGCATGATGACCTGGGGAGTAGGGTTATGTGGGATGTTCTCTCTCCCCTCCCTGCCTTCTTTCCTGGGCAGGGCCTGAGTAGAATCAAGGCAATGAAGACTCACAGGTTCTTCGAGCAGAGGGACTGCAGGTGCAGTATCAGCCCTAAATTGACTCCCATTGCTCCAGGAGCTCTCAGAAACTCCAATTTAGTTGGTCTGGGGCCTCGGCTGAGGCATGGGTTTTAACATCACCCAGGTGAGGCTAATGGGCAGCCAGAGTTGTACAGCAGGCTTAGAGGAAGATGAAAAGAGTTTTCCGCTGCTCAGAATGGTAACATGGGCGAGGCAGGAGCACGGTCTAGCTCCCACCTGTGGACACTGGAGTTGGCAGGGACACCTTGCCCCTGACGGTGGACTGTTTCCTGCACATTTCAGGATCTCTAGGACCTTTGGCCAATGTCACCCAGCTGCCACTTTCCCTCCCACCAAGAACAAAAGCAACGCACGCTTTCCTTGTGCCAACTAGTGGCAAGATTCAGCAGGAAGCAAGAGATGAAGGTGGGCCTCTAGCCCCCCATTTTCATGAGAGAACAGTTTGAGGACACGTGTCTCTCTTTGGAATCCTGGGGTGCTTCTTGAATCTGAATGGATCAGCGGAGTTATATTTACTGCATGTGTCCTATGTGCTAAAGTTGGAAGAGAATACTGAAGAAAAGCGAACATTCTGCTTCTATTCTCAGAGAAGCTATAATGTGTCCAGGGATCCAAGAGACACATATGGAAAAACCAATAGTGAGCCAACATAATGATCACCATTTCTATGATATTATGAATCAATCTTTTGATGTAAGATCAATGCCTCTATTTCTTTCTGCAGATAGTGAAACTGAGGCACAGAGCAGGATATCAATCCAAATTGGAGTGCAAAGGACAGAAGAGGAAGGTTTTGCATCCCACTACACCTGTCAGTCTTAGAACAGTCAGTAAAGTGTTATCTGATCCCCAGACTGGGGCTTCTGAGGCTGGGGATGAGCTTATGATGGCAGTGTGGGTGCAGAAGACAGGGAGGGGGCGCTGGTGGCCTGGCTCACTATGGTCCCACCAGAGAGACAGCAAAATGGAACAGAGAGACACAAAGTGAGTGGAAAAGAGAGAAAGAAAAATTGTGAAAAATTGAAAGAAAGCATCCCATAGTTCTCATCAGCCTTTGGCCGGGAGAACATCGACCACAGTCCTCAGACTTCATGTAGGCAGGAATCACAGGGTCCCTGGAAGTGAGATTCTAATGCAGCAAGGCTGGAAAGGACCTGTGCTCTGCATTCTAACAAGCTGCCCTGGGCAAGGCCCATGGCCCGCAGCCAGGAGAGGGTCAACATGAAACCCTGGATGTTCTCTGCATGCTGCAGAAACCCATCTACACACCCAGGCCCTGTCATCCCTGGGACAGCTCCTGCAATGGGCTAAGTCTTGTGTTTCTCAGGGCTTTGAGGTGTATACACACACACACACACACACACACACACACACACACACACACACACCATGGAAGTCACAGGATGACCTGCATGAGGGAGAGTGGACAGATCTTGAGCTAGGAGGCAGGCAGAGGAGCCAATCAAGAAGGTGGTGTGTTCACTCCTCCATTCAAGGTGGTCCATATCCCTGTGCTTCAGTTTGCAACTCTGCACATGGGGATTCTACTGTCACTTAGCAATGGACGTAATCACTAAGCCAAGTGAACGGCACCTCAGAAATAGCTACCATATTGTCACCCCTGCACTGAATGTGGCCCTCGCTGATACTGAATTCAGTGACACTCTTGGAGAAGCAACTGCAGGGGCCATACCTCATTTATGTTGAGGTAGATGAAGTCCTTGGTCTTCGTACTGAGGGCCTGGAACACCCCTGAGGGGAGAGACAGAAAGGTGTCACTGTGGAGACTGTCTCTTCAGCAAGTGGAAGGCCACTTGTGGGGGAGCTGCTCCCTCTGGTGGGAACCAGGGATGGTTGGGCACAGCTTGAGGACTGGGCCAACAGAAGGGACTTCAATTGCTGCAGCAGGACGGTGGCCTTGGGAGTAGCAGCTCGTGCTGTCACCTACCCTATGTGGTGGCAGGTGAGCTCCAGCATCCAAAATTTCCCTGTTTTAACCTTTTGGAGTCCCACAGCCCCTGAAATCCATGGTCACCAGCCTACCCACTGGAGATGTTTGCAGATGCAAGGATAGAGTCTCTGGGATCTGTTACTAAATAATTCAGGGGGAAAAGTATGTGTTGGAGGGAAAATTGTTGAGGCTGGACAAATAGTGTTGGAAACTTCTGGGGAGTTTTTATAAATCCTGATGCGGTGTGGAGTGTTTTATAAATCCCCAGCCCTGAGAGTGTAACCTAATTGGTCTACTGTGTAACCTGGTCACCACAACTTTTTTTTTTTTTGGTGCTGTGTGTGAAGGAACCCAGGTCCTGGCACATGCCAGGCAGGTGCTCACCACTGAGCTACATCCCTATTCCATCACCACAATTTTCAAGCTCCATGAGGGATTGTCATGTGTAGCGAAGTTTGTGAAGCACTGGTGTGAGGAACACGGGACCCTGCTATTCTCTGTATGTAATTGCATGGTTGACAATGTCTATGGTTAAAAGTTGAAATCACACTGGGGCAAAGCTGTAGCCTTGGCAAGTTTCCCAGCGGATGCACTGTGAGGATACCAGAAGCCTGAGGGCCTCTTCCCTGGCTCTCCTCCACCAGAAGATCAGCCAGAGTGGGGCCAGGAAAGATCAGACGTGAAGGGCTGAGAAGGGGAAGATCGGCCAAGAAGAGAGAAGTTTCCCAATCTCCGATTCCTAGGGTCTGCTCTGACTACCCCGTGAGTGTAATGAGTGTCATCTTTGGGGCAGGTCTCTCAGCAATCACCTCTTCCTGGGTACCTGTCACTACCTGAAGAAGCTCTGCCTCTTGGAAGGACATCCAGGGCCTTCTGTCCCTGACTCCCCGGCCGCCACCATGTTTACTGAATGCTCACTAAGTGTGCCCTCCAACCCCAGCAGCTTTCATGCTAATGGAGACAAGTCCAAGTCAGAAATCACCGTGTCCGTCACCTGGGTGACGGAGTCCCATTGTGAACCGAAGACCTGGCCTTGAGGCCGTCTATTGGGCAGATTTTAGCAAATGCTAGGCAGGACTAGATGCACAATTGGGGAGGTCATGTGCAAAGTGGAACGTGGGGCTCTTTGTTCAAAACTCCAGACTTTCATGATGGAGACTCCGGAGCATTTGACTCAGCACAAGGTGCCTGGGACCTGGGTCCTTTTGCACTTGGCACATCAAAGCCTGGACACTTCTGGCCTCCTCCACAGGGAGTAGGTGTCATAATGGATATAGCATCGATGAGCACCCATATATGACTTTTCTTCCTTCCTGCTATAATAATCTTGTTGGTTTACAGAGGAAGGGAGTGGGAACACCGAGACTCTTCTGATTCTATACTATGCAATGGGTTTGGCCCAAGAGGGGACCTTTCCTCTGATACAACATATCCCCCCTCCCCCATCCTTTGCAGAGACTGATTATGTGAGGAACAGGGGTCAGGAGACATGCATTGTGGGAAGACGCCTCTGCCCTCAGCCTTGCCCACAGGCACACTCATCTGCATAGATCATAGTGGCCCTCTGGTTCTATCTTTGCTGTATGTTGCCAGGTTTTTTTCCCCAACATTGTGGATTGAACCCAGGGCCCATGCCTTGTCCTAAGCTATATCCCTAGCCCTTTTTTATTTTGAGAGAGTTTGGCTAAGTTTCCCAGGATGGGTTGGAACTTAAGATCTTCCTGTCTCAACCTCCCGGAGTGCTGGAATTACAGTGTGCCACAGTGCCCAGCTCAGGTTGTTTCTTATATGCTTGAAGAGGGTGACTGAACATGCCCTGAGGTGTCCCCCACCCCAACATCCCCCAACACTCACTGCTCGCGTTCTCCAGCCGCACCAGGCAGTTGAGGAAGTCGTCAAAGTCCATCTGGAGTTCCTCATCCGCGTATCTGAGCACAACCAACTGCAGGAGGTGGCTGCTCAGCTGGAAGCCTGCGGAGGGACAGGAGGCTGGGAGTTGCCATGTTGGTCCATGAGTCCACAGTGCCAGGGCTCCCAGGTGGCCAAGGGTAAGCTGTTAAAAGAGCCAATGGCTGCTCCACGGAGCTAAGATTCCTGATCTAAGGGGCTTGTCCCTGGTCTGGATGTGGGTGGGGCATGTCTGTGTTGGGAACCGTGAGCACTGAGGGAGCCATCTGAATATAATGTGTCTAAGGAGCTCATAGTGTTGGTTTTGCCATCAACATCACCCCTGGGGTCTGGCTGGCTTTCAAGAAGGCCTCACTGAGCGGACAACACTGGATGGCAGCTGAGTCCCACACTGGTTCTGTAGCAGCTCTCCCTGGCCAGCACCTGCCCCAGAAGGTTCCAAGCTGGATACTGAGGTACATAAACATCACTCGGTGCATTTCAGCCTAGAATGTGTCTCCGAGGGGCACTGCAGCCCACATGAGGACACTGTGCAGGCTCCTTCCTGCCTGGCACCATGGAAGGTGGCACCAGGCTGCAGCCAGGAGGCTGCTGGAGCTCTGGTGCTGCCCTGGCTGTGGGGTGTGTGTGGCTTCCCTTCTCTGGCTTCAGCTTCTCACAGCAGAGTTCCTTCTAGATCCATGTTTAGAGCTTTGATTTCTAATCGTATGCTACTTTACTTCAGTTTTGAGGTTCTGGGGACAGAACCCATGCTAGGCAGGCACTTACCACTGAGGTGCACCCAGTCCCTAATTGTTAATCAGTTCTCTAAGGAGCTGTGTTCCTTCCCTCTCCCATCCCAGCCCATGTGCCCAGCCCAATGTGTTCACAGAACTATCCAAAGTCCACACTTCTTGCCTCTTCCTCCAGATTCCAGCCAGAGGAGGCAGCCAGTTAGTCCCAGAGCACAGTTTCTAGAGCCCGCACAATGGTACTGGCTGTGGCTGTGCCAGGGTCCTGGCGTCTGCCTCCATGGACTTAGGGGTAGGGAATCCCCCTCTTCAAGTCAAGATGGAAAATTTGGTCACATCCCTCATCTCTGAGAGTCCCTTCATCCCATCCTCCGCTCCTCCTGCTCTGGAGAGTCAAGCACTGCTTCAGCTGTGGCATTCTCCACTTTGATAATGCATCTTATTTTCTGTCTCCATCAGGCCATGACCTGGGTGTGTTCCAGATGTCTGGGGCCTTGGGAAAGGACCATGTCATGAGCTGTAGCTGCCCTGTCTACAAAGTACACTGGGCTCAGGCTGCACAGGAGCCACCAAAACCATGGCTGGTGCACAGGACCCTGAGCCCCCCAAGACCAGCCTACTGGCCAGTGACTACCAAGTGGTGGAAATGCCACTGGGAGCCTGTCCTTCATGGAAAGTAGTTGGGCATCAACTGAGTCATCCGGTTTGAATTCAGAGCCTGGTGTTGGCAGAGCTGGGGACAGGCCACAGGTGGTAGGTGGAGGGGAGCATGGTTGCCCAAACCACAGGGAGGCTCGCTCTGTCTAGTTGTGATAATGACAGCCACAGAGTAGCACTTAGAGGTCTGGAAGCATTGTGGTGGGCCACCAAAGAGTCATACATCACTGTGCTGGCCAGAAAACTTGGCCAGCGGCTGAGAGGCCTGTGAGGGGAGAACAAGTTCATTCTTAAAAATTCCTGCTGATATGCACCCTGATTTAAAATGAGGATCTGGCATGAGCAAGGGAGCTCTGGGGCCAGGCCTGCCATGTTGCTCTGGGGACGGTGACTTTAAGAAGTGTCAGCGCCACTCAGAGACTCACCTTCCAGTGGCATAAGACCTGCTCCTGCCTGCCACTTGCTCGGGTTGTAGGCAAATGGCCCAGGAGGCAGCACCACCACCCTGGGTTTTCCTTTACCTGCGGCTTTCAGTGCAGTCCGAAGCTCATAGGAGGACATAGTGCCGGACTTGTCCACATCAAACTGGAGGAACAGGTTCTGGGGGGGGAGTGAGGCGATGAGGAGACAATGCCCAGCAGGTGATGCGGACGATAGTAACTGGGTGGCAGGTGCCCAGGAGGAGACCCCACCCTCAACCTCCAGGCTGTAGAAGCAAGGTCCGGCTGGGCCCCCTGACTCTGTCTCTGTTTTTCTCTCTCTGACTCTGCGTCTGTCTGTCTCTCCTCTCCAGTGCTAATCAAACTCAAGTCTTCACTCATCCAAGGCTAGCACACTGCCATGGCCCAGGGCCTTCTTTCCGTTAAGCATCAGGATTCTACCACGACCCCTCCCCTCCCCTCTCCCAGTACCACCCTCAGCCTCTGCCTTTGCCCCACTTTGCTCTGGGCTTGGGTGTCTACACCAGGTCACATACAATCCACTGCTTCAGCTTGTCCCAGAACATCTGGAATTCACTGAAGTCCAGCTTCCCATTGCCTCTGGTCTGGCCACATGGGTTAAGGGAGCAACCGAAGCTTGTTGTGGGACCCTAGCTCTGGAAACCAGGGGGAGGCTGATGTCTGGCCTAAGTGACAGATTCAGGGGGTGGCTTTAATGATGCATCTCTGATGAGGGGAATTGGAAGGGGTGGGCTGGGGAGGGGCCACCTAAATGTTTGCAAAAACACACAAGCAGACTATTCATTGTACTCTATAGGGCCCCAAGTGCCAGCATGACTCCTAAGCCTCTTTGGATACCTTCTCCCCACTGGATGGTCCTGGACTTTGGTTCTGACCCAGATCTAGCACCCAGGGCTCCTTGTGTCTGAGTCTTTCCTCTGAAGGCTTCCTATTGGCTGAGCATGTGGGATCCTCAGAATGTGTGCAAACAGAAACCCCTGGCCCTCATGACAGCAAACTGTTTGGAAGGATACATCCATCAGAGAAATGATGTTCTTGCAGGAGATCAGGCTTAGCTTCTTGAATTTGAGATCCTTTTCTGGAATCACACATGCAAGCAGAATTCAGTTGACCTGGTAAGACAGACTTATGCCCTCTTCTGCTGAGAACCTGGAAGTGTGGCTAGATCTGAGGTCCCAGAGTCATAATGTGGACATTCTCTTATGATGCTGTTGAGAGTAGAAGTTGACATGGCCTTTCAGAAGGAGAATTTACAGCAACAAGACTTAAAAGTGCAAATGTCAGGTTGGGATGTAGCTCAGTGGTAGAGTTTGCCTGGCACATGTGAGGCCCTGGGTTCAGTCCCCAGCAATGAAACAAACAAAAACCCCACAAAAACAAACAGAAAGATAACAAACAAACAAACAAGCATAAAAACAGACAAAGGAAGTACTGGTTCATCCATTCATTCTAGTCCTTAGAATCCCAAGCAAAAAAAATTACAGAAGATTTTCATCATAAGGTTACTAATGTCAAAATTTAGAAATGATATAAATGACCGATGGAAGGGTATTACCAGTAAATTAGTTCACATGATACATAATCCTTAGGGATCTGGAAGCATGTCTAATGACCTGCTCATTAAAGTAAAGTTTAAGGCAGGACTTAAAAGCATTGGGGAAATTTGAACACTGATACTCTGCTGGTAGAAATGTAGACAGCCCCTTTGGAAAACAATTGGGTGATTCCTTAAAACATGAGGCACAGAGTTAGCATGGAATCCAACAACTCTCTTGATCTATAGATAAATGAAAACACATGCCACCCAAAGAACTGGTGCAGAAATGTTCACAGAAGCATAGCTCATTACCTAAAAATCTGTGGATGGGCAAATAAATAAATAAATAAATAAATAAATAAATAAATAAATAAATACAGGGTCCATCCAATGGACCCTATTTTACAATGGAATATTACTCAGCCATAAAAGGGAATGAAGCCCAACACACTGCACTACATCAATGAATCTCAAACACATTGTGCTGTGGAAAAACTGCAGGCTCTATTCCTACAAGTCTGGGAGTAGATGATTCCCAGATTCCTTTTATGTGAATTGTCCAGAGAAGGCAAATCCATAAAGACAGACAGTAGACTAGTGGTTGTTAGGGGCCATGGAAGGAGGAAGGGGGAAATAAGGAATTATTTTTGGAGTGACAAAACTGTCCTGAAATGGATTCTGTATATATACAGGGACTACACATACAACATAGACACTCATGCATACACACACGCAAACACACACACACACACACACACATGTTCACAGTGGTTATTTATGGGTGGTGAGGCAATCAGTGATTTTCCTCTTTGTCATTATTCTTTTCTGCCTTTTTTTAGAATTTTCTACTGTAATATAGTATGTGTGTATGTGTGTGTGTGCGCGCGCGTGCGCGCATGTGCACATGTGCGTGCGGTACTGGGGATTTAACCCAGGGCCTATGCACTGAGCTACATTCTCATCTTAATTTTATTTTTTTTAATTTTTTGAGACAGGATTTCTCTAAGTTGCCCAGGCTAGGATCGAACCTGTGGTCCTTCTGTCTCAGCCTCCCAGAATTCTGGGATTACAGGCATAAGGCACAAAGCACAGCTGGACTAGCATAATTTTTACTACCAGGAAATCAACAGTGCCAGCTATTTGTAAAGCTTCCTTAAAGTCAGCCCAGGATACAGGTCCTGGGGAGGAGCAAGGAGCCCGGGAGCTGGAGGGACAGGCCAGTGTGGTCACTTGGTCCCTGATGGGTATGGCACTTACTCTTTTGCAGCACGGTATTTAAAACATATTCGAGCTCCTCTGCAGTCACCTCCATGTCCTGTGGAAGTGGAGACAATAGCGCCTTACACCCCAGCAGCTCCTGTTGCGTTTCCATGAGTCCTGAGCTCTACTCGGCTCAGGTGTTGGATTAGCCCCAAGACTCTGCTGCATGCAACTGTGTCCATCTCCTCATGGCTACTGCCCATTGGCTTCTTAGGGAGGCACAGCCAAGCCCGGAAAGACCCTGGCAGGAGACGTGATGCCCAACTTTCCTGCAGAGGAGAAATACTCTGCAAATAGCTCCTGGTGACCTCACAAGACTTAAAATGCCAGAGGAATTTGGCAGCACTGGTGTGAGCCTCCAAGCCTCTCCCCAGCGGCACTGCCTGGACAGCTCTAAAGAAACCCCACTTCTGGGGCTTACCCCAGGCACCATTACATTGGAAGACCCTGAAATATGGCTCACTGATGATTTTAAAACCCCTACGGGTGAATTTCAGAGCCACCAATCCAGGCAGTACAGTAAATCTTGCATCCTGCAGCAAACCCTGTTGGAAATGCAGTCTTGGGTTTTGCCCCAGACTTGCAGGAGTAGAGCCTGCAGTTTTTCAAGTTGCCCCGGTGGTTTTCATGAATGTAGGCAGTCATGCCATTGGATCATTTGTCCAGGGCTTGAACCTGCAGCGTGGGACATAATACCTTGGAATTATTTTCACATATGCCAGGAGTTCTGCCCCTTAAGCCCCCAGGCCTGAGGATTCAGGGTTGGCACTGGTAAGAAAATGAGCACAGCCAGGAGTGGTGGTGCAGGCTTATAATTCTAGTACTCTGGGAGGCTGAGGGGGGAAGATTCCAAGCTCAAGCCCAGCCTGGGCAACTTAGCAAGACTCTGTCTCAAAATAACAAAGGGCAGGAATGTAGCTCAGTGCAAGGGGCCTTGGTTCAGTGCCTAATATTGCAAAAAAGAAAAAGCAAGAAGGTGCAGATGCAGCCAGGCTGTGCTCACACTGAATGAGGGGAGAGATGGAGCTGTGTGCTGGGTCATCCAGAAGACACTGAGACTCCTGCAGGGCAAATCCGACCCCATGTACCTCCTGTGAAACTTAGAGCCCACCATGCTGGCTCTGACCCTGACACCTCCAGGATCAGCCTCCTCCAGCATTCTCTGAACACACCTGACACTGGGGTTCTCTCCCCTCTCTTACACCCTACTGAGACCCACTCTGCCCTATCGGGAGAGGCAGTCACTCTCCCACTGTGGTAAAGCTGGGCACACGGCCCCTTCTCCAGCCCAGCTTGTGGCCCCAGGCCCCTGCCCTGCTGGTTCATTGCAGGGCCTGTGAAGTCACCATCAGATGCTCCCTGGGTGTAGGCTTCAGCCCTGGGCAGCATCTTCCACCTCTAGGCACTCAGCCACCTGAGTCAGTCCATCAGCTCCTTCAGCGTGGTGACTCGATGGTATGAGGCAGCGTCTGGCAGAGGGTGGACACCTGAGTGTGTGAAGCTTCGCCCAGTTCTCCAGGAGTTCCAGGCCTGACAATGGGGCTGAGCCACGGAGAAGTGGGAATGGGTGGGGGGCCAAGGACAGGAAGTGGGGCCTGGGGCTCTGTCCCTCCTCAGTGGCCCACATCTGACCCTGAGCACTCACTGCCCCCGGGACTCCTTCTGGGGTGCCAAGTGTATAGTGGAATGGGGCCTCCCTGGGCATCATGGAGTGAGAGGGCATTGGTTTGTGTGTTACTGGGGATTGACCCCAGGCCCCTCACCCTGAGCTACATCTCCATCCCTTTTTCTATGTTTACTTTAAGATAGGGAGGGTCTTGGTAAGTTTCCCAGGCTAGTCTCACTGCAATCCTCCTGCCTCAGCTTCCCAGAGTGTTGGGATTACGGGCATGTACTGCCACACCTGGTGAGAGCACATCTTAACAGCAGCAATTTCTGGGCAGAGTTCAGAGGAGCCACGTCTTCAAGGCTGTCCCTGATCTGCTTCGAGAAGCTTCTGGGGAGCTCTGAGTACTTTGGGCTCCATCACCCTGTCAGCAGAGGTGCACTGGTGAGAGATGCTATGGACAAGCTGAGACCAGGCCTCCGAGACCAGAACTGATGTCTCCAGCTAGAGAAGACCAAGGCAGGCCCCTACCTCACCAGCGATGGCCTGGAACAGGGCCCGGAACTGCTGCTCCTCCTCTGTCTCCTGCTCAGGGGGAGTCGGCTGCAGAGGCTGAAACATAACCAAAAGGCCACAGGAAGAGACCTGGCATTCGCTTCCCCACAGACACGTCAAGGTGCTGCCCCCGAGGGACGGCTGGAACTGTGCCCAGACATGTGTCAACATGGGAGTGGGGAGGCAGAGTCTGGAGGCCGTGAGAGGCTCTTCAGAACCAGATCCTAAAGGACTGGCTCAGCTGGACTCCCAGTCTCAAGGGACAGACTGTCCTCAAAGAGGGTCTAAAGGCCTAACTGGCTTTCATCAGTGACTCAGAAATTAGGCAGCTCCCATCTGTAAACACAGCCTCCCGGCTGGGCTGGCGGAACAGTCAGACTTTACAGGCAGCTTGAGCAGGTCCAGAAATAGCATGATATGAAAATGGACCGGTAAACCAGACATGGAGATGCAGTCCTGTAATCCAAGCACTTTGGGAGGCAGAGGCAGGAAGATCCCAAGTTATAGTCCAGCCTGGACAGTTTAATGAGACTGTGTCACAAAAATTTTTTTTAAAAAAAGCTGGTTATGAAGGGCCGGGGATTTAGCTCAGTGGTTCTGCCTCTTGTCTTGCAAGTGCAAGGAGGTGAGTTTGATCCCTGCTACAAAAAAAAAAAAAAAAAAAAAAAGCTGGGGATGTAGTTCAGTGCAAAGGCCCTGGGGTCAATCCCCAGTATCATTTTAAAAAAAAGCAGAGCAAAGTGTTTGGGTAGCTCCAGGTACTGCCATCAACCTTACTTGTGGAGGTTATAACAGAAGGTTTTCTCCCCTCCTGGCTAGAGCTGGCCTGCATGGGGTCTGGGTGTCATCTCTCTCCTGGTGTTGCAGAAGGCACATGAACAGCTTAGTTTTGATGTAGTAACATAAATATCAGCATGACTGACCCTATCTGGGTTGGTCTGTTGGGACCAGAGAAGGGGCTCTATGCCAACTGGCAGCTTCCATAAGTTTCTGTTAGCATGGGAGGAAGTAAAGGAAGCCTGACCCTGCCTGTTGGCTGGCTTGGGGCTGCCATGCTTCTATCCTGCCCTGACCTTGGATGGCAGTTACTGCTCTGACCTCTGTTGGGCAGGCAGTGGACCTTTGGAAGGCAGGAATCTGTCTGTACAGCAGGCACTGGGCCTGCTGCCCAGGAGACAACTGGGAGACAACGCACATCTGGGGAGGTTTTGGTTTCCTTGTTCATTCATGGTGATGGGTGGCAGCCAGAACCGCAGCTCCAGCCAGTGGAGACCTTTGAGCCTCCTGAAGGCCTCTCAGCCCTGGGACGAAATGAAATCGGCCCCTCTGCCCCAAAGCAACAGCACAGGGGGGGTCCCTTGAACTTACCGAAAAAGAATCTACCTGCCTCATTCCTTTCCTTTTGTTGATTATTTTTCTAAAATAAAGTATGTTTAAAAGTGATTCTGTTCCCTCCACAAGCAGCAGGCACCTCTGAGGTGGAGGTGGAGGCCCAGAGGCAGAGGGCGACATGCAGAACTTTACGCCAAGCCCCTGCCTCAGCCCTGCTGCAGCCTGTGGGCTGTGAGGGACTCGAAGCACAGACCTTGGAATCCAGGGCTGGAACCACAGCTGCTAACCCAAGCGCAAGCTCCATTTCCTGACCTTGAGCTTTGAGGGGCACCATGGTCGGGAGGGAGGGTTCCAGGGCCTTTGCCCAAGTCCCATTCTCCCCACCAGGGCAGAAGACTCACCTCGGGGAGGTGGATGTCTGTGGTTCCATCCAGGTCCCTGCAGGATGGAAAACACACCTCCTCAGGTGGGGAGCAACTTCTCACCAAGGCTCGAGCCATGGAAGGCTCTTCCTGGGGGGACCCTGCTTGCTCAGTGCCCCTCACCTTTCCTGGGGTTTGCAGACTCAAGGCCTTGACACTCGCTCCCTTCAGTACTCCTTAACCTTTTGGGAATTTGCAGATCCCACACCTTGACACCTGCCCAGCCACTCAGACCTGGCTGGCAAGGAAGCCAGAGGAGATGGGGCAGCCCTTACCCAACTAGAACCTGCAAACCCTAGACTTCTGGAAACAAAAAAAAGCAAACCAGAGGATGCTCCCTATCTCCCCTTGCATGTTAATGAGGCCACTGAGTGGGGATCCTCCAAGAAGTCCCAGGGAGGACAGCCTCACCCCACACCTGCCCCATCAAGGTATCCCCAAGGGAGCTTCACAGGGCTCAGACATCACTCAGCCCACCCGGACTTTATCACGGGTGGAGGAATTAAAAAGATTACAGAGTCATGGAGTTGGGACCAAAAAAAAAAAAAAAATGCCCCAAACAAAAGAAAGAAAGAAACAATCAACAACAAAACCTTGAAGCTGCAAGCCACACCCCTCACCCTCCCACTAGGGGCTGTGTGTTTGTAGGCTCATGTTTGGGGAAAAGAGGAAAAATGATGAAAACTCTTAATTTTTCTGTTCGCATATTTAGGGGAGCCCCAGTATTTGGACAGCAGCAGGCTTCAACTTTTGTTGACAATGAAAACATCTGAAGGAATGCAATCTTTTTTTTTTTTTGGTACCAGGGATCGAACTCAGGACCTTGTGCTTGGCAGGCGAAGGAACCACTGAGCTAAATCCCTGGCCCTGGAGGAATGCAATCTTATAGGGTAAAACCTGAGGCATTCCCAAAGAAAAAAATGAAAAATTCAAAGGCAATACAAACAAACAAAATAAACATTAAGATTGAGCCTGGACTGGGGATTTAGCTCAGTGGCACCACGCCTGCAAGGCAAGTGCAAGGTCCTAAGTTGGATCCCTGGTACAAAAAAAAGAAAAGATTGAGCCAGGCAGTTCTCCCTGGTCTCCTTATCCCTAGGTGCATGCAACAGAATCCTTCTAAAATTCTCTAAGACTTAAAAAGTTAATTACTGCTTCTGTTTAGCCGAGAGAAAGAACCAGGCCTCTTGTCATTAGCATGGCTGGGCTTTGGGATTGAGGGTCTTCTCCGTGCAGCCATCCACCACCTGTGCTCGCTGAGCAGCAGCAAACCAGGGTGGGCTGTGTGTTACAGCTGGATCTCTTGCCAACTCTGTGCAGGTTGCTCCCCCTTGGGGATTTGCATAGCAAAAATACAGAACCAGTCCTGGCTATTGTCTACAATTTTTAGAATAGCTTCATTGGGTAAAGAAACAGATTTTATGTCTTGAATCATTTCCCCTCTGCCACAGAGCAACCAATGTCGAAAGGCAGCAAGGGAAAGTCTTCCTTAGAAGTAACAGATACAGTCGGGTGTGGTAGTGCACACCTGTAGTCTCAGCCCTTGGGAGGCTGAGGCAGGAGGATTGCTGCAAGTTCAAGGCCAGCCGAAGAGGAAGAGGAGGAGGAGGAGGAGGACAAGGAGGAAGAGGAGGAAGATACAGATACAGAAGGATTTTATGACTCTTGGAGTGAGCAGGGGTAGAGTGTGGGAGTGTGAAGTGGTCCAGGCCATCAGCATTCATGTAAAGGAGCTGAAAGGACATGTCACTCTCTAAACCTGCAGTCATCACAAGCACAGAAATAAGTCTAGCATCCCTAAATGCACTTTTGGATCTGGATTTTCCCCCCAAACTCTCATGTGCTCAGAGGCAGGCCTTTTGAAGGGTGATTGGATCAGGCAGGTGCTGTACTCATTGGTGGGTCTGCTGTTTGGAGGTGGGGCCTGTTTGGAAGAGGTCAGTAGGGAGGCATGACTTAGGAAGGTCTGTCTCTCTCCCAGGCTCCTCCCTTCTTTCTCTGCTTCGGGCTGCTATGATGTGATAATCTTTCTTTGGCCACGCCCTTGCTCTTGTACCATATTGTTTCTGCTGTGGAGCCTGCCAACCATGGACTGGAACTTCTGGAACTGTGAGTCAAAATCAACCCTTGCTCCCTAAAGACGTGGTGTCAGGTATTGTGTCTCAGAGATGAGGAAAGTGACTAAAACAATGTGCCCCCCACCCCCAGAAGTTTCCTGGTGAAGTGTCCTGGTGACAAGGTCTGGAAAACAGAGCCCTGTGAACATGATTCTGGGAGCAGTTGGGCTGGCAAATCTTTAGCAGTTTGCCTAAAGGTGAGAAACCCAGAGCTACAGGAAGATGTGTGGAGCTTTTTGAATGTTTCACAGGGCACAGTGGCAAAGGTGAGATGGGGCTGGAGTCCCAGGTGGCCTCTCATGTGCACCTCTCAGGAGGAGGGTCCTGGAGTTTGCTCCCTTTCCTCACCTGGTGACGGTCTTCTTCTCTGAAAAGATCCTCAGACAAAAGTCAGCCTCCTGATGGGGCTCGAAGGTGCTGGGGATCAGGATGTACTCCCCCGGGGGCAGCCGGAAGCGGTCAGAGACTTCCCTCAGGTTGATGAAGGTCTTGCTTCTGGCCAGGGAAGCGTGGTACCTGAAGAAGTCTCTGCTCAGGTGTCCATGCTCCTCAGGGCTCTGTGGTGGAAGCAGGGTGCTCTAGGGGCTGCAGCTCTTGGCTCCTCAGACACAGTCAGGGACTGGATGTAGACCTTAGGCATGCAATCAAGTACCTGGGAGCTCAGAGTGCGCTCTGAGTGGACTTTCGTCCCCTACCTGGTAGATAGCATAGCCTATGGTCAGCATGTCAGCACCGCGCCTCTTCAGTTTCCGCCGATCTTTCTGCATCAGAGCTACAAGGAAAGTACATCCTTCCTGCTCCTCGTCCTGCTCTGTCAGGGACAGCTGTATCTGTGGATTGGTCCAAAATGTATCTGCCATGGGAAAGAAGTGGGTGAGTTATGTCACTTCCTTAAACGTACAAAGAACACACACACACACACACACACACACACACACACACACACACACACACACACACACACACACCCCACTCTACCCATCCCACCAGGTCTTCCCAACCTGAGAAAATTTTTTTCTCTCCCTGTTCTAATCACTCTGGTTGGTGTTCCCTCTTCATTTCCACCTCCTTCCAAAAGACATCCTCCTGGGTCTGGTTTGCTTAGGTCTGTTCTGTCTTATTTTTTTACTTGGCATTTCAGAGGAAAAGGTAGCGAGCTTGTGTTGTGAGTCGTTTGAGTAGATTGGACCTTACTCCCAGATACAAGAATGAATTCTGGTCTATAACTGTCCCTTTCGCCACCCAGAACTGGAACAAAGACACTCAGCTCGCAGCATTCACCAGGCAACACTGGACTTTCCAGTGGGAGGAAGTCAGGTGTTCTGCATGTCGACCGTACAAGCTCTTGTTATGGGTGTGGAGAGGGTTCAGGAAGGTCTAAGTGTGGGTGGCACCTCTCCCATGTTTACAAAGCAGGCCTAACTGGGGATGAAGTCAACACAGGAGGAAGGGAGAGCAGAAGATGACAAACAAATGGAGCCAGAGCTCTAATAGAACCGTGCCCAAAGCCTGTGCTACTTGTCCTCTGAACTTTTCAGTTGTGTGGGACAATTAATCAGGTATGACTTGTGACTTCTGTTTCCTATACTTGTAACAACCCAAAAGGTAAATAACCCAAGTTGTAAAGTGGAGTTCCCTTTCAAAATTCTTATCAGCTTCCTATTAAGCCTCTATAGTTTATTTCTCCAGTCATCCCTGAATCCTGTAGTCCAGCTCCACAATTCAGGCTTTCTCAAGAGTCCTGGCCCTGACCTTTGATGTCCTGGGCTGGGCTGGACACTTGGGAATGGCACCAGGAATGACAGGGAGCCACCTACCCAGGAAGTTCCGGCAGCCCCCTGCTGTGGAGCCCCGAACCCAGCTTCCTTGGTGGATTGTCACCTCCCATCTGTGGAGAGTGTCCTCCTCCAGGGCATCAGGTGTGAGGTTGCAAATCTCCACTTTGTCAAAGTGGGTCTTGAAATCCTTAAATGACATCCTGCAGCAAGATGGAGTGTCAGTGTGCAGGAGATGATGGCTATGACACCATCTGTCCTCTCCGTCAGCCATCCAATTCCTGTCCCCATGGAATATATCACAGAAAGGTAAAATAAAGATTTTAAAAGGTGGGAAAAGGTAAATGCGCAACTTGATGGGAAGTGATAAGGGCCACAGAGAAAAAGTTGGGCTGGAAGGCGAGTGTTACCAGGACAGATGCTGGCCAGGCATTGCGTGTGGAAGCCTATGCAGATCTGTCATGTTTGTCAATTTGACTGGCTTGGGAGCCACCTAGGAGATTCGTAAGGCGCATTTCTGAGTGTATCTGGCTTGCTGTGGAGGTGTGGCCTTGGGGACTATAACTGGCCCCTGGCCCTTTCCTGTTGGGCTCTTCCCCTGCCTCCCCTGTTTCCTGGAGGCCCTGGGTTGAGCCGGTTTCTTCCATCAGCCCTTCTGCCATGATGTTCCTGCCTTGGAGCCAGCTGACCTTGGACTGAATCCCCTGAACCATGAGCCAAATTAAACCTCTTCTCCTTTAAATTGTTTTCTCAGGTATCTGGTCACGGTGACAAAAAAGCTAACACATGATCTAAAACAGGCTGATGGACTGAGAGGTTCTCTGGGGTCCTGGTGCAGAGAGAGTGAGGTCTCCGGGTGAAGGGGTGCTTGATGTGCTCATGGCTCACCAGGAAGGCCAAGGAAGCCACAAGGCCAGTTATGTATCAGTCAGGGACAAGATCCAGAGGAATGGTGAGTGGGGTAGACAGAAGGGGGTGGCTTTGACTGAGAAAATGGGAGCCACTGGAAGGTGACCTGGCTAGCAGGAAGTCAGCTTATTATGCAGGGAATGGAGGGATGGGTGTCATTCAGTCCAGCCTGGGAATATGAGCAGTAGCCAGATTTGAGAAAAACTGAAGATGGATCCTAGAGCTGCTGACAGGTTGGCTGAGGGGTTGGGTGTGGGGAGAGAGAGTGTGGAAGGAAGGTGCTGGTGTAGTCAGGAGAAGGCTCAGGGTATAGGGGTGGAGCGCTCCTCTGCGATGTCTGCTGCGCACTTGGGGAGATGCAGCACAGGTGGTGGGTGTTTGACTCTGGAGTCCTAGAGAAAGGTGCTGATGAGAGAAGCTGAGATTGTCAGTGTAAAGAGGGTCTTTAGAGTCTGGACACAGGGAGGTCACGCAACAAGTGTGAGTGGGTAGCAAGGTGGGGAATCTATGCACTGAGCCCTTGGCCTGATGCCAAGAGGTCGGGGAGGAGGAGGCACCAGGGCAGAGCCATGAGCAGCCCCAGAAGTGAGGTACCAGTGTGTCATTGCTATTGACTGAGAGGAGAGGCCATGACCTGCACCAGGCCACCCAGCAGGCTGGAGGCCACTCTGGTGGCAAACCCCGCCCCCCCCAAAAAACAAAGAACCTGTGATAAATGCATGTTCTGTTGCTATGGTCTGAATTCACATGTTGAAATGCAATGTGTGATAATGTGAGGAGGTGAAGCTTTGGGAGGTGGTTGGGTCATGAGGGTGGTGCCCTCTTAGGTAGGATTAGTGCCCTCAGGAGGCTCCAAAGAGCTCCCTGGGCCCTTCCACCTGTGAAGTTGAAGCAGGCGGGTCTCACCAGACACCAGATCTGCCTTCAGATCTGTGAGGACTACATTTCTGTCACTTAGAAGCCCTGGGCCACGGTATTCTGTTACAGCAGCATGAACACACTTGGATACCATGGAAGTGAGGGAGACTGACCCAATGCCTGATGAGGCCATCAGGGAGAGGGAGAAGCTGGACTATTCCTGTGCCTTGGTGCTGCTTGGGGAACTGAGTAGATGTACCGAGGAGGTGAGCCCAGGAAGGAGCTGATGGACTGCAGGGCAGGAAAGGAGACAGAGTTCAAAACCATACATGGGCAATGGGAGGGCTGGAGGAGGTGCTGCCTCTGGACACTGAATAGGGAGATGGAAAACTGAAAGATTTTGAAGATGAAGGGCCACTAGAAACATCCACTCAAGCAAAGAGATTCAGCCCCATGGAAAGCCCAGAGCAAGGATGATCTCCCTCCTGCCCCCAGACATCTAGACTTTTGGACACGCTGCCTTCGAGGCCCCATCATCAAGCTCACAGGGGAGGAAATGGGGTGGGCATCGGGGATGCCAGTTTCCACATTCACTGAGCAACTTGGATGGCACAGAGAGTGACAAAAGATGTGGGTGGGCTGCCTGGAACTCTGCTGGGTGGTCTCTGGGTGGTATGACCTCCCTGGAGACTCATAAGCAAACCAGAGATGAGAGGGTCCTCCAGACATCACTGAGATCTAATTCCCTGCCAGCCTGGGTGCTTATGAGGGGTGAGACAGGAAGGAAGGAGAGAAATAGGAGGAAGGAAGGAGAAAAGGAAGGAGAGAAAGAAGCAGGTGTGTGCTCTTCACATCCCCTATAGCTCATGCCAGTCACAAGTTGTACAGAAATGGGAGAGCACAGTACCAGAACTCCCCGTCATCAAGAGCAGAGTGACACAAGCGCTTCTGTTCATCGAGGTCCACGGAGCCCCATTCAGGAGAGCTGGGAGCAAAGAGAGTTGGAGTTCAGCTGTGGGGTGGAGCCACTCCTCCCAGGGTCCCCCGAGTGTCACACAGGGGGAGAATGTCCTGCCCAGCACCTCCTCACTGGGCCCCAGGATGTGCCCAAGGACTCAAGCTGGCAGGCCACTGGCCCCAAGGCAAGGGCTGGTCAGAGAGAGAATCTCCAAGAGCTGCCCATGGACAATTCCCAGGACCATGTGAGCCTCCTGAGTAGATCATTGAGGGATATCTGCAAGGAGGTGAATGCTGGGATGGGGAGGGAAACTTCAGGCCAGTCTGGACTCATGGTCAAAATGCACTTTCTTTATTTCTCCCTCAGTGTGAATTCCAGGAGAAAGTAAAAATGACTGTTTTCCTTTTATACATTGCTTTCAGTAAATGAGGGTATCTGCCACCTGTGACCCAGGGCAGTCCTATTAGCTCTGGTTTCCATAAATCTCCGCTCTTTCCACTTCTGCCAGAAGAGGGAGACCAACTCTTCCTTCCTGTGACAGTGTCTGGTCTGAGTCCCTCTCCACCAGTGCCTCTGGGCTCTGAGAGGGCAGAGGTGACAGTGACAGTGTCACTGGGTGACAGTGGCTTCCCATTGCCAGTCACTGAGCCACTTTCCATACTGGAGAAGAAGCAGGCCTTCCCTCATACTTGGGGGCCTAATAAAGAACCCCGGCTGTCAGCAATGCGTGAGTTTCCTCTTCCTCTGTTTCTCTGCTGGCTCATGGGGCCTCGGCCAGTGGTCAGTGACCCCCACAGAAAGCCCAATAATTAGCTGCTTGGAAGTATTTCAGGGATTCCCTCCTTCCCCCAAACATCACCACTGTACCCCACACACTGCTTACTGAGGCTGCTCCTACTGGAGCTAGAGTCCTTCCCGGCACCGAGGAGGAATAAAGTATCCCCAGAGATGGGAAAGCATCCATCCACTCATACACACAAATACAAGAAGGCATTCAAAGGGCTGCTGTAGAAAACTTTCTTGGGAACCAAGTTTGCCCACTGGAGGGCCCAGGGGCTGAAGAAGATGTCTGCCCTGGGGCAGGAGAGGACCCAGGATAAAGGCTGGGGTCACTGGGGACAAGCTACTCCTCTTTCACAGTCACAGCCAGCCTCCACCCATACATCCTGGGACCCACGTGAGATGGGGCCTGGCCACTGACCTGTCGCTCCAGGACCCATTCCACTCCACCTGGCCCCAAGGGTTCCGGACTCGGATGAGCTCAGTTTTCTGGCCTCGGAAATTTACCTAGAATGGAAAAGCAACAGGGAAACGTGAAGAGACAAAGTCACAGAGGTTTGGCTCTATTCCTCAGTGATCTCAGGGGTCCATCTCCCTGCGGGGCTGGCTGAAACACACTGAAGTACACAAAAACCCGTCGATTCTTAACCAGCCCCTGGAATTTTCAAATTCCTACTGAAAACAGTTGTTAGCATTGCCTGTGATGTCAAATTAATCATCACACAGAATGGTTATGCCACATCTGGGAAAAAGATTGTAATTAACAAGAAATTGGTCCACTTTCAAAAGGAGTTTTTCCTCTAGACCAGGATCCCCTGGAACCTCTAAGTTCTGTTCATCCCTGGTACCTCGACATGTGGCACAGGATAGTCAGAGTGGTCCCCAGAGGTGCTCAGGGAAACCGCTGTCTGCTCCCAGGTGGGTGTAGGAGCATAATCTCACAGGCTGGGAATTTAAACATAACCACAAACCAAAGATTCCGCCTTCTAAATCACATGTTCTGTGCTCTATCTAGGGTCATGTGAGGGTGCCTACACTGACAACTCTTGAGCTAGCAAAGTGGCAATTCAGCCAGGCCCTCAGGCTTTGAGGGCACAGGGGCAGAAGGAGGGAGGAGGCAACTGGGAAAAGCTAGAGGAGGAAGATTGAGAGAAACAGGCTTTTGTTCATCAAGCAACCAGAAACTTCAGCTATGAGAGGGCGGCATCCTCATGCACTTGACATGAATTGTATTCTGATGAGCAGGACCAATTCAAGTAGCATAAACTTGGCAGAGTGGGAGGTGTGGCTTGTGGCCCGGCTTGTAAGAAGGTCATTGGTCTAAAATGTCCTAGGACTGGCACCCTCCTGGCAGGTAGAGAGAAAGCAGGATCAAGAGGACTGGGGTGGGGGTTGGGGAGCAAGAGGTCTCTATACGTGCAACGATATTTCGAAGATATGACCTAAAAACCATGTGCCACTCAAGTGGGCAAGCATCAGGACATCCAAGGACAGGAAAGAGATGGAAGGAACGAGCACAAGAGCTGAAGTGCTGGAGAGTCCCAAAGAATCTGACTGCTTCTCAGACCTGACAGCAGAGAGGAGGAAGGAGGAGCGCCCCTCCTGCCCTGGACTCCCTTGGAATCTGTCACTCAGCATGTCATCAGCCCTAGGAGCCTGTATCCTCTTCAGACATGTCCCTTGGGGACCCTCCTCCAGGCTAACTGTTCACTACAAGTGGGGTGATGTTTCATGGGGTTTGGATGCCCAGGATCAGTCCAACCTGGGCTACAGCTGCAGAGGATGGGACTTGGGATGGTCAGTTTCAAGTGTCACCTTTACTGGGCCATTGGGTGCCCAGATATTTGCATAAAGGTTGCTCTGATTGTATCTGTGCAAATGTTTCTGGATAAGATAAAGTTTAATGAGCAGAGCGGAGGGCCCTCCCAGTGTGGGTGGGTTACAGCCCTCTGCACAGATCTGAGCAGATCAGAAGGCAGAGGGGGTGAACTGCTCTCTGCCAACTGTGTGGGCTCATGCTCTGGGACCAGGACTTACACCACTGCTTTCTCTGCTCTCAGACCTTGCTTCAGACTCAGACTAGAACTAAGCATGGGCACTCCTGGGGCTCCAGACTGCAGATGGCAGATATGGGACCTCTCAGCCTCCATAATCACACAAGCCAACTCCTTATAATAAGTGGCATTTTATTATATATAAAAAGTATACGCAAATTATATATAATTTTAGAAATTTAGAACTATATGAAATTGGGAAAGAATAGAAGAAAATGAAATAAAAGACCCCCAAACAGACTAGCAAAGCCCAGGCTTGCACACCTGCAGAACAAGTACGGTGTTGGGGAGGAATCACCTTGGCTCTCCTCTCAGCCCTGTTTTGTTTTGAGTCCCACCCTACTCTCTCTCAGGGAGACAGTCTCTGCAACATCTGAAAGGTGGTTTAAACTGCAGGGCCTGAGAAAGGACCACTGTCCTGTCCTTCCCTGAAACTTCCGATGAGGTTCTGTCCTTACCTGATCAATTCCAGTCACGGTGTAGGCATGGCCCTTAATTAGACCAAAAGGTGTACGGGCTTCAGATTCTGCAGCATTTCTGATCTAGAACAGGACAAGAGCAGTGTCAGGCCCACTGTCTAAGCTGAGCCTTCCCTACCAGGCCAGCCCCAGGCCCATGCTCAGCCGTCCTGGCCACTGTCCACTCTGTTCTCCAAGGCGCTGGCCATGTGTATGGGCTGCGTGAATTAGGAACATAGGACACAGCTAACATGCTCATTAGTGACACAAGCCAGTCTCCATCTCTTCCAGAAGGGGGACAGCAGGCAGGAAGTACTCTTTTCTTCCCAAAGAAAACCTGACCATCACCACCACATAGTATAGCATAAGGCAGGAGACACAATTGCATTTACCAAGAGGATGCTGGGAGGCACACAACACGGACACGTGACTGTGCCACAGATGTGAACTTGAAGAGGAAATGATAGTTCATCAGCAAAAAAGTAGATCCCCAAGGTTAATCCAAGAAGAAACTTTGGATGGATGAGATACGATTATACCTGTGAGTGTTTGTATGCATAGAGAAAATTTTTAACATACTGTTAGATGTCCATCAAAAAACTATATGGTAGTGCAAGGACCTGAGTTCGATCCCCAGTACCAAAAAAGAAAACAAACAAAAAAACCAAACTATATGGTAAGATCCCTTCCAGTGAAGTTCAGGCAGCTTCTCCCAGTGTGTGTGTGGTGCGTGTGTGAGCAGAGGTGTAAATGACAGTCCCTTTGTCCTAACCAGATGGGGTCGGGAAGGTGCAGGAAATCTTGGAGGGGAGCAGGGGGAAGACAAATATGTTTCACCTGATAGCAAGTATGTTTTTTTTTTTTTTTGGTACCGGGGATCGAACTTGGGTCCTTGTGCTTGTGCAACAGGTAGCGAAACCACTGAGCTAAATCCCCAGCCCTTGATAGCAAGTATCTTACCTTTTAGGAAAACATTAAACAAAAACTTATGTTTTACCTTAAGAAATAAAACCCCCATGACAGTCCCGCTCTCCTCTAGAGCCCCCCCCCCCCATCAGGGTCCCTGCAACACCCAGAGTGGAGCCCACCAGCAACTTACATCCATGGAACAGCCTAGCAGGGAGCCACGCCTCAGCGCCTTCTCCAGAATCTGGTAGAAATCCTTCGGTGCCTCTCTGGTGTGGAAAATCTCAGCCACACCACCGGTGAAGTCCTCCATGGCCTCGATGGTGCTGCCCCCCTTCAGTGCCTCATAGCTCCCATTCAGCCTGCAGGGTGGCAAGGAGGAGATAATGGAGTTGGATGGAGGAGGGGAGCAGGGTGCAGGGGCTCCTGTGGGCTCTTCAGGTGGCAGTGGTTGAGGTGGTACAGGGCAGGGTTCTCCCTGGGTGGCCGGGCAGATGTGGCTGCTGCCGGGGGTTGTCATTACTTCTGAGTCCTCTCCACGGACAAAGCAAGGGGACGAGCGTGTGCAGAGCCCAGAGTCACACACACACCCCTCTGTATGACCATCTCTGTTAGATGCAGTGTAGTCCGTGCTGGTGTCTCCGACTCAACTCAATCTCCATGTGGGCCAGCACACATGCCCCCCAGCTTGCCTGTCTGTTACCTTCAATGCCAATGGTGAGAAAACCACCCACCTCGACATTCACTGACCTGATATTTCATTTGGCCCGGGTATAATTCCATCAGGATTACCTGCCTGTACCTCTGTGAGAAACAACTTTATCAACACGAGCATGAGAAGCGCATGATTTCTTCGGCCTTGATATTTAAAGGCCTTGCACCTCTGCCTGAGGCCGGCACCACACTTCGCCTACCTTGCTGAGTTCAGTTCAAACATTTGTGATAAACAGCGGGTCCCCGACTTACAAACCAGTTCCGTTCTGGGAGAACGTTTGCAAGTCAGATTTGTTGATAAGTCCAACAAAGTGAGTCTTATACACCTTTGACACAAACATACAAAGGAAAGCATAAAAAAAACTGAGTGTGAAGTCTGTTCATATTTGTGAAAATTCGCAACTCGAATGTTCATAAGTCGGGGACTTACTGTAGTTTGTCTTGTCACTCTGCTAGAGGGCCCGAGGGAGCTGAGGGCACTTGGTTGGTGGTTAAGAGTTGGTACCTTGATTCCACTTCTATGAACTTTTTGGGTGGTCAGACCATAGAGACAGAAAGTAGAACCATCCTGCCAGGGCCTGGGAACAGGACAGGAGCCAGGGTCTGGTGGGCACAAGGCTGCAGTTCTGGAAGAGTTTTGTGTGATGGTTGCACAATAGTGTGAATGTATCAATGCTGCTGAGCTGTACACTTAAAATGGATGAAAAGAAGCTGAGCGTGGTGGTGCACAGCTGTAACCCCAGCACGCTAGGAGGCTGAGGCAGGAGGATTGCAAGTTCAAGCCCAGGCTGGGTAACTTAGTGACCTAGCAAGACTCTGTCTTGAAATGAAAAATTTAAAAAGAGATGGGGATGTAGCTCAGTGTGAAGACCCTGAGTTCAGTCCCTAGCACTTCTAATACATGAATGAATGAAAAAAATCAATCAATCAATCAATCAATCAATCAATGGGTAAATTTGTGTCATTTATATTGTACAACTATTTCTTTAAGAAGGAAAGGAAAGGAGAATAGGGAAGGGGGAGATGACGTCTCTAGGCCCGTGTGACTGACTGTGTCTGGCGGGCAGCTGAAGAACCTGGAGCTATAGGCACAGCCAGACCCCCCCCCTCCACCTCCTTCCACGGCTCTTCCCAAGGCCAGGTTGGTACCTCAGGGAGACAAGGGAGACACATCCTGTGCCCAAGGGGCAGCACACCTACCCAGGAAAACTGCTGTGCATCCCGTGGGTCTGTGCCTCACTTTCCCCCATGGAGCTGCCCTTTAAGGGGGCAGTGAGAGGGTAGCCTGCGGGGCCAGCACTCACTTGGCATAGGCTTTCTCCAGCAAAGCGCTCCAGAACTCACAGTGGTCGGCTGAGTGCAGGAAGACCAGGCGGTCCCTGAAGGTGGGCAGGCGGTCGTCGATCACCACATCCAGCCACTCACTGTGCTGCCAGAACTAGGCCAGGAGGCAGATCGGGAGGGTGAGTCCGGGGGTGTGGGGCCCTGGGAGTGTCGTCCGGCTGCTCTTCCCTCCCAGCAAACTGCCCTTTGCATCTGGAGGGAATCTCATAAGATGAGCTTTGTCCATGAGACCACATACTGAGGCCCTGTCCTCCAAGGACATCAGCTCCTAGACCCAGTGTCCCCCGGGGAAATGGAGCAGGACCAGGATAGGAGTCACATGCAGACACTGCAGTGCTCTGAACCATGTTTCTGTTCTACAACTAAATCTTGGGCAGGAGAGGGAGGCTGGTGTTGTGGGATTCGGGTCTGCTCTTGCTGGCCCAGTGCTGTGTTCTCTCCACTCAGTTTTAGGGTCCAGCTCATTAGGGTGTTCCTTGGCCTTCAGTGCCCTCTTGGCGACAGGTGGACCTCGAGGCTGATGTCTTGGTCGGTAGACTCGGATTTCCTGAGTAGCAGGTGTGGAGATGTGAAGGGAGCATTAGTGTGGGTGTGTGCTGGTGTGCAAATGTGTGCACACTGTATTACATGTGTGCGTGTGTATGTGTGCACTAGTATGTGTCTGTAGGGAAGATGAGGGCAGGTAGGGGAAGCCAGGGCCTGTGCATCAGCTCCCCGTGTGCCCTTTTATCCCTGTGGGACACACCTCCTCCCTGTTTCTTCCCCACAGCTGGCCTTCCAGGTTCTGAGGTTGTCAGGGGAAGGTCAGAGCGGCAGTCAGGCACAGTGACCTTGGGAGCCAATCTGAGTCCACACTGTGGCTCAGCCCTGGGGGACTCGGCAGCCCGGTACCCAGGAAGGTCCTTTGTCCAGGCTTGAACCCCAGGCCTCCTGCAGGGGCGGGGGCTAGGCAGGGAGCTTGGTGCTGGCCCTCTTCAGGGAGAGCTTGAGGGCTACAGGTGACAGACCAGCTCTGCTGTCTCTTTGTCTCCACTCTGGCCCAGGAACAGAGGAGGAGCATGAGGAAGGGAACTGAGGAGGGACAGTAGACAGCCCGGCAAGGCCAGTCTCCACCTGTCCAGAGGCAGTGCAGCAGAGCCCCGAAGGACACCAGAGACAATCCTTAGGCTCTGAGTTCTTTGGCTACTTACAGTTGTGTGACCTTGGATCGGGTATTTCCCCTCACTGGGAAGCAAATTCGGGGGCTGAGTCATGCCACCTCCAAGGGTGCCAAATGCCCTGAGGATCCCCCAGACCATGCCCAAATGTTGCTCTGATGCCTGGGATGTTACTGCAGGACAGAGTATGCTTTCCACGTGGCTCAGCACTGTGGTTCCCTGTGGTTTCTGCGTGGTTCAGCACGGTGGTGCACAGACATGCTGCCACATTCCTCCCAGAATTCTTTGCTGTGCAAAGGGGGCACGCAGCATCCTATAGGGTCTCAAAGAGGCACATCTACTGGCCCAGGGCCCCCTACCTGGAAGTGGAATATTCCGGCATAGCCAGGCCCGAAGCTCTGGTCCTGGGGGACCACTCTGGCCAGTGCCTTCTCATTGAGCGTGAGGGAGGCAATGGCAGCCAGCAGCCAGCAGTCCCCTGCAGAAAGAAGGCCATAAATCACTCTCAGTGCCAATTCTCAGTATTCAGGGAAACGTTGTGCCAGGGCAATGTGGGGAGCTCTAGCAGCCACATATTTTCCACATTTTAAAAAAATGGTAGATTTCCAGCCAGGTCTGCAGGACTGAGTGGAAAGAGGGCAGCAGGACAGCCTGGCCATGGCTGGGGGCACATTTCTGTGACCGCTGTCTCTCCTAGCCCAGAGCTGGCTTAGAGGCAGCAAGAGCTCTGTGGTGGCTCCATTTGCTTTCAATTAACTTGCAGTTCAAAGATTGATTAATCTACTGAATTCCGCAGCTGCCTTCTGGAGGAGATCTGAGAGCCGAAGCTCCACATCAGAAAGTGTTGGTCTGCGTTCTACAGACTCCCTGAAGTGGTGGTGATGGTGTGGGTCTCAGCGTTTCCCACGCTGCTGTGGGATAAGCGTGAGCTGATGTTGGGAGCACCATTTACCCCACAGAACTGCCCAGCTGTGTCCACATTTGTTTGTTTTCAGTAGACAGTGAAACAATGAGGTCACACTCTGCTTTGCTTTCCAAGAGTTTGCATTTCCAGGAAGTCCAAGTTATACCAGAATATATGCTTCTATCATCTGTCTATCCACCTAGCAGCAGCCATTTGTGTATCTACCTACCTTCCTACCTGTCACATAGCTGCTATCTAACTCTGTCTCTTTCTCTTTCTTTTCCCTATAGCCTGAACACCCCCATCCTGAAATTTGTGTTCAAACTTAATTGCCAGCCAGAGATAGATCTACCTATCAGCAGTCATCTACCCACCTCGTTATCTATCATTTAGCTCTGTTATCTATATGTCTATCTATCTATCATTGAGCTCTATTAATCATCTACCTATTCTATCTTTCCATCTGTCTGTCAGTCATCTATCAATCTGTCAGCAGGGTAGGCTGGTGGCTTTGAGACTCTGTTTAGGGCAGCTCAGGTATTCCACACAAGGGTTTCACTGTGGCCCTCCTTAACCCTGGCTGTAAGTCAGGGTCTGCACACACTTGCTATGTTTGCTCTCTTCAGATATTTCTACTGTTTTTTAAAAAAATTTTTATTGGCACGTGTGGGCAATGCATAATAATTACATTCATTGTGGGGAGTTGATACATGTATATAATGCATCTTTCTTTCTTTCTCTCCCTCTTTTTTTTTTTTTTTTGCCAGCATCAGGTTTATCTATTTTTAAGTCTTTATCAAGCTAATTATCACAAACTGATTAACAGCCAGACTAACAGATGGAAAACATAAAACAGTTATACTAAATATAAGTACACTTTTAGGTACATTAGCTATGCTGATTATAATAACTTTTTCTCTTTTTTTCCATTGTCTGTCTTTTATTTATTTATAATTTTGGTTTCTCATATAAGAGATACCATGCAATATTTAAGCTTCTTGTGTGTCTGATTTACTTCAATTAACTGCTCAAGGTGCACCCATTTTCCTACAAATGACTCGAGTTTATCCTTCTTTACTACAGAGTAGTACTTCATTGTGTATAAACACCACAGTTTCTTTAACCATTCATTTGTTGTTGATGGGCATGTAGACTGTTTCCAAGATTTAGCTATTATGAATTGTGCTACTATAAACATGGATATGAATGTATCACTGTAATATGATGACTTTAACTCGTTTGGGAAGATGTCTAGAAAGAGAATAGCTGGGTCAAATGGAATTCCTAGTCTAAGTTTTCTCAGGAATTTCCACAATAATTTTCATGGTGGTTGTATCAGTGATCATTTTTTAACTCTCTCTCTCTCTCTCTCTCATAAAGGTAAACCTAGCTCAATTTTGCACTTGAGCTAACAGGACTGATTGAGCTGGTAGGGGCACACTCAGGGTCACAGCAGAAGGGTGAACACAAAAGCTACTGTGATCTGATAGTTAGGAGCATGCCCTTTGCAGCCAGACTGCCCCTCAGGAACCTAAAAGCCTGTCTGTTACCTCAAGACCTTGGACCAGTTTCTTGGTTCCTCCAGCCTCAGTTCTCTCATCTGTAATGTGGGAAGGTTGGGAAGAGGAAAGGAGCCGCATTCTTAAGAGGGTGCAGGCAGGTGACTGGCCCATGTTGCAGGATCTGGCTACCCATGCTGGGAGCTCCAGGACAGCCCAGGGCCTGGGCAAGTGCACTGCCAGAAGCTGGCAGTGTGAGTTTCTTGGAGGTTACAGGCTCCATAACAGGGCGGCACATTGGGGAGGAGGGATAGGAATGGAGGCTGTGCCTCCCCAGCCCTGTGGCCGGATTCTCATGGACCTGGTGCTACTCTTGCTGTTCTAGCTGCTCAGAGCAGGTCCCTCTGCCACCCTGTCAGCAGGTCCCATCCCCCACACTTACCCAGCTCCCCCTGGCAGATGTCGGTCCTGGTGGCCCCTCCACGGATGAATTCCGGGTGTTCCACGATCTCCTGGGGGAAGGGTGAGAGCATTGTTGGAGTGTGGCAGGTGTAGGTGCTCCCCTGTCTCAGGGAGGGGACACCCTATGGGGTGTGATTACTTCAGAAAGTGGGGCATAGTTGAAGAGAGGCGATTGTGGGGCAAGAGCTTGGGGACCATTTCTGGTCCCTGGCTCCTTCCTCTCTGGCCCTTTTCTTCTCTGCTTACTGGTTGCCATGAGGTGAGTGGCTTTCTTCTACCACACCCTTACAGCATGTTTTGCCTTGACCCAGGCCTACAGCAATGGAGCCAGCTGACTGAAAACTCTGAAACAATGAGCCAAAATAAACTTTTCCTCCTCTCAGTGGCTTTTCTTGGTATTTTGTTAGAGTGATGGAAAGCTGACAACACATTCCCTTGCAAAAGTGGCAGTGCAGTGCACATCTGGTCTCAAAGTGCATCCATTTTCTAAATGTTTCTAAAACATTTACGTAAACCCAGCAGGAGAGCTTCTGGAAAAGGCTGGGTTACTGGATGTGCCAGAAAGCCAGGCCTGGCAGAAGCATGATATCCCGATGCCACTTTCCATGAGGCCTTGCAGGTCCCCACATTCCCACCCTCAGCTCCAGGAGGCTCTCTCGGAGGCTTTTCATTAAATGATCCTAATCTCCAGTGCACAGGCCAGGCAGCAAAGGTAGCTCCTCAGTGTCCCCGTCTGCAGATGTAACCCTCCTGAATCTGCACCGGGCATGCTGCTGTCCCCTCCTTGTCTGCTCCTTTCTAGATTGAGCTGGGCTCTGTACCCACTCCCACCTCGCCTCCCCAGGTTCCTGTGAAGTAACTTGGCTCTGTGTTCCTGCTCCCCCGAGCCCAGTTGTATTTGACAAGAAGGTGGTGCCGGGAGGCCACCTGTTCCATTCCCCAGTGGGTGGCTGGGTACTTCCTGCTGAGATATGCCAGGTACGTGCCCAGCAGAAACTCAGGCACACCCCAGCCATGGGCCTTCTGGAGAAGACTGCAATTCGGGTCCCCCCATACCAGGCCCTGCTCCTCCATGCTGCAAGGGACGCGTGAGGCCCTCCCAGTGCCTTGCTCCTTGCTTTCCAGACATCTCCAAGACATAATGCAAAGCCCTCTGACCAGGCAATAGACAAGCTGCATTTCCAGGACCAAGGAGCAGACCAAAGGAACAAGGGGAGAAGTGGTTCTGAAAATGAGTCTGAAGGATGGGCAGTGCACAGAGGACCTGAACAAAGGGATTGAACACGGATAGGGAAGGCAGAGGGTCATGGTATGCACAGGGCATGGAGAGCTTATGCGTATGGGCTTGACCTGTGGTCAGGACCTCTCTGGGAAGACACCAGTGACACAGATGGAGTCTCTGAGGCTGAGGCCTGGACTCTGTGAGCCCTGGAGGACTTGGTGGGTCTCCACGGCCATTTTCCAGGAGGAAAACATGGGCTGCAGGCCCAAGGGATTCACTGTACCTGGCAATGGTGAGGTGCAGGTGGAAGGTGGGTCCCCAGGGCAGGGAGGGGAGGTGTGTAGTCACACATGCTGCAAAAGTGATGATGGTGATCCTGCTGGCTGCTGCCAGGCTCTTGACTCAGGGCTCGGCCCTACTGACAACAAGACTGTCCTAACAGTGGCCCCAGAAGTGAGTGGAATTATTGTCCCAATTTATGGAAGAGAAAGTCAAGGCTCTGTGGTAGCTGTGAGGACTCATTCAAGGAGGAGATCTGTCCTCACTACTGGAAACCCTAGGCCCTGGCCAAGACCACAAGCCTGAGGGTACCGCATGCCAGGACCAATCAGTGGGCCTGCAAACACAGAAGACTTGTCACTCCAACTTGGGACCACTCTGAAAGGCCACCCTGAGTTGGGCTGAGGCCTTCATGGGACCATAGTATGTCCTTTGAAGCTGTGCTCCTCAGAATGTCCTGGGCCCCTGAGGTCTGAAGAGGAAGTTGCTAGCTGCAGAAGCCTGGGCTGTCGGGTGGTGAGAGGTGCCCTGCACAGGCAGAGGACAGTCCACCAGTGAGCCTGACACACTGCGGGCAGACTGTGGAGCAGCAGGAGCAGCCACCCTTGAAGACACAGGAAAGACTCAAGGAACCAAGACCATCCTCCCTCCTCAGTGACAGCCAGGAGAGGCAGGGACCCGACCGTCACTGCTCATGCCTCCCTGCCCCCTGCCCTCCTCAGATGGCCGAGGCCACCAGCCCTAGGGTCCACTCTCCCAGGGCCTTCAGGCCACTCTGACTGGAGCTGGGCCTGGGGACAGTAACACCCTCTCTGGTCCTGCTGCTCCAGGAGAACCTGACTGTGCTGTAGCGAACATGAACCTTGGATCTATTCCAGATACACCCCCCCTCACTGTCCCCACTGCTGGGAAAGTCCTCAAGCTGAGGCTCAAAGGCATAAAATGCATGCATGGCCCACTGCTGTTCTATGTAAGCAGCTCCTCATAGTCCTGGGTCTGAGGAGGGCAGCCAGTCCTGAGAGGCCCCAGAGACCAGCAGAGAAGCCCAGGGGGCTCTGAGCTTCCACTGCTGAGGAGAAGTGGCTGGGAGCTGCCCACAGCTATGACACTGTGGGGCCTGGGATCTCAGTCACTCAGGGCCTGGAGCCACTCATGGAGCTATTCTTTGTTGATTTCTATACAAATTAACCCCAAGCACCCTCTGTTGACTGGTTACAATGGGACCTGGTGCCTTGTTCCTCCACCATGCTGAGCTCAGCAAGGGTCCTGGAGGCAGGGAACTAGTTAGGAGGGAATGAAGCGCTCAGGATTTCTCAGGAGAAAGGTGGAATCCCCCGGGGACAGTGTTGTCACACTTCTGAGAGTATGGGAGCACACAAGGCAACTCCCCTCTGAACCAGGCTAGGCAGGGTAGCATTGAAGGAGGCCTGACCTGGGAGCCAGGGGCCGGGCCCGCGTGTCCCTATCAAGGGACATGTCTGGGACCTGGACAGAGCCATTCCCCCATGGGCCCCAATACCAATAAGGCCAATAAACAAATGACCCAGGGCATTTCCTGAATTCTTTGAGCCTTAATGTTTTGACCAATACAATAAAACCATTTTAAAGGCTCAAGTTGGTAAAGTATGAATCTACATTTTATTTTATTTATTTATTTCTTCCTGGTACTGAGGATCGAACTCAGGACCTTGTGCTTTCAAGGCAGGTGCAGCATCACTGAGCTAAATCCCCGACCCTTGAATCTACTTTTTAAAAAATCAAAATAAAACTCAATTCAAACAAAGCAAATTTCAGTGTCCGATGACTCGGGTGGACTTCATTATTTCTAGTTTGTCAGTTTTCTCTCTTCCCTTCACCTTGGAATGGGTGGAGACAGCTCAGGGGCACTTGGAGGGTCAGAGTGACTCAGTTTCCTCTGCAGACATCCCTGAACCTACCACTCACACTTCCCATTTGCCTCTAGCCTGAGCGGAGACCTCCAGTCTCTGCCTAAGGATTTTGTGTCAGGAGCAGGAGCTACTGGGAGGGACCTGATGGAGGGGACACAGATGCTACACACAGGCCAGGAGTTACAAGTTCCAGAGCCCAGACCTGTCTCGGCCTAATGACATATTGGCTGCTGGTGACACGCTGTGTGATGCACAAGCATTTCACAGTATTTTATCTCATTGAGTGCAGACTGTGCTGCTCCAGGACAAGAATCATACCTTCCATGACCTGGACGCCAGCCCAGGAGCAGCTGGCCAGAGCATCTGCCCTCCCAGGACAACACCGCATGCCCAAGGCAGACATCACCAGTGTGTCACAGCACGGCCACAGTTTCTGGTTACTCAGATTGGGAAGTCTGCAACATGGGAACCATCCAGTTTCTTGATGAGGCCTTGATGCTGATTAATGGTGGGCCTGACTCTGTTTACCTAAACCCAGGAATGCATGAATGGCCAGACCAGAACCTCTACCTCTCCCACTCTCCATAGTCAGAGGTACGTGGCACTGGAAGAGTGCAGGGAAGGGGCCACTGGGTGGAGTCCGAGGGTGGAGCCCCTTTTGGGATGGGTGACCAGCAATTCCCAGGAGGAGTGAGGCAGCCACAGCAGGGAGGCCAGGACAGAGTGGTGAGGACCATCGCTGGGAGCACCCCAGAGCCCTGGCCTCTTGGCCAACCTGCACACCAGGGTCCTCTGCTTATCTGGGCTTCTGTGGACCCAGCTGACTCCATTCATAGTAGAGATGAGGGGCTGTGACCGTGGGCACTGAGGCCAATGGCTGGGTGAATGGGCTCCTGGGAAGAGCTCCCGTGCTCAGACCATGTGAGCCCGGCTTTTCACATCAAGCCCAGGAAGAGAACATTGCTGTTTGCGTGGCACCCTAGGGCAGAAGAGAAAGCTGCCAGTGGCAGAGGAGACCAGGCCAGGCTTTAGCCCTCCTGGGCTGACATCAGCTTTTCTGGAACCCTGTTTCTTGGGGATCCTGACTATCAGGAATCCCACACCCCATTAAAGATGCATCTGCAGTCTAAAGCCTGGGCAGCAGGTCATGTGCCCACTTATCCTTGTGCTGAGGGCTGAAAACAAGTCCAGAAGGCCCACCCTGCTATGGCTGGGCCCTCAGGGGTCACTCCTCTGTGTCTAGGAGAGATGGAAATGGCCTTTTTCTTCCTCAGCTGACTGTGTCCACGCACCATACCCATAAGTGCACCCTCCATGTGATCTACTAGTGCCTTGGCCTCATGCTGCATTTGGCCACATGCAGAGAACCAAACTGGTTTTAGAGTGCCTTTAGATGATCCCAGAGGTTCCTGGGGTCCTTCTTCCTGCTCTACTAGGGCCACTGGATGCTCATGATTTCCCTACATGGAAGACACTGAGATAGTACTTAACTCTTTACCTGGTGTGAATTCTTTACCTCACAGATAAGGGCAAATAAGGGTGTGCATGTAGCACACACGTACATGGACACATGGAATCACCTATACCTATACACATGTACACCCCCCCCACACACACAGAGGAACTAGCAGCAAAGACCTCATCACTTCACAGCCACAGCTGTGTGTGTTTTGGCTCTGCCCCTGAAGAACCTGGATGGTTTGTGTATGTGCTTTTATAAAAATGCATATGTTATGCATTAAAACATGAACAATATTTTAATGTCAGGAGATGCAGAGGAGTAGTTATTGCGAGTCCTTCATTACTGGTAAGATGAGATGCCGAGCTAACAAGGCAATAAGGACACCAACAATAGTAACCATGACAACAGTGTCATTTACTGACTAACCCTAGTCATTATTGGTTCTACTCTACAGGTGAGCAGACTGAGGGTCCACCCTGTGCACTCTTTCCTTGCACACAGCCATCCTGTTTCCCCCTAGAGATACTCCCAGGCAGGACCCACTCAGATAGAACTGAGCCCGTGGGGCCCAGTAACAGGGAGAGCCCTGACTCATCTGGCACTGCAAATATTGACAGTGCATCCTAGGCACCAGCTGGAGCCTCTCAGGACCGTCACCTCCAGGCTGCCATGGTGGGGCAGCGAGACCCTGCCTCCTGTGGAAACCGTGGTACAGCTCTGGAAGAGCACCCTGCTCCCAAATTGAATAACAGCCAGCTGAGCACTTGCTGCCAGGCATCCTTCCACACGATGCATCCTGGGCTCCAGCTGGAGCTACAGTGCAGGCAGAGGCCTCACCTTGGACCCTCAGGCAGAGTGCAAACCTCTCCATTATCTCTGTGCTTGCTTGCTCTTGGATTCTCATGGGACATGTTGCCCGAAATTTGTCCTTTTGGATAAAGCTTTGTTCCTGCTCCTTACGTGCAGGTAAGACCCTCTGTCTAGGTCCCCAGCCTTGGTGGGAGTCAGGGAGCTGCAGGTGAGGAAGTACAACCAGACACCCTGGGCTCCCAGTCTGGTGGCGCCCATAGCCGGCACCCGCCCCCCCTCCGCCCCCCGACACACACAATGCAAAGCCTTAACAGTAGGCACAGACCTGCCACAATGGAGATGCTGCAGCCATTCTGGTGCCCTCCTCCCCTCCTCTCCAGGGCTTTCCATCCTCTCCCCAGATGCCAAGCCTGCACCCCACCCTCCTTGCACACTTACCCCTGGCCGTTTCCACACGAAAGGAACCTGGGGCCTCTCGCTGAAGAACAGGGAGGCATTGCAGGCAGGGAAGTCTGTGTCCTCAAACAGGGTGCCAGCCTGCAGACAGTCCTGCCTCAGCTGCTCAAAGCTCTTTCCTGAGGAGTGGGTAGCCCGGGCATCCTGGGGAACAAGGTGTGTCTGGGGCCCTGGAGCTGGGTGCAGGTAAGGCATTGCTGCTCCCAGGAGCTATTGGTGGTGGAGGGAATAAAGGGGAAGAAGCAAGATGTGTGTGCTGGTTAGCAAAGGTCCTTGGTGGCTCTGGCTGAGTGACCTTGCCTCTACTTGTTTGCTGGGTGCGTCCCTGTTAGACTAAGAGGGGGCGCACCCTGATGGCAAATAGGGAGAGAGAGTCCTCTGTCCGATTAGGGCTCTGGAGAGCTGGGGGCAGCTCTGGCAAATGACCAGGGCTGGCAGAGGCAGCAACTCTGCTTAATCCACAGGGAGACAGAGAGGGAGAAGATTGCAGGAGGGAAAGAGGACAGAGGGAGAAGAGGATCACAGGAGGGAAAACAGGGCAAGAGACCAAACTGGTCCGGGGGGGAGGCTGCAGGAGAAGGCGCAGCATGGTCTGCAGTCATAGCTACCAAATCAGACACAGGCAGAGTTTTGTAGTGGGGAAGTGGATCACAGTGGTACATCATAGGTGTACAGAGCTGAAAATCCCATTTGGACTTCCAGCAGGGGTGAGAACCTTTTCCTGTACCAGCCAGAGGCAGACACATAGTGGACTGTGAGGTGCAGGTCTGAGAGACAGCTGGTCACCTCTGCTGTCACTGCAGCTATAGATGCCGCATGGGTAAAGGCAAAGGGCTGGGTCCCAGGAAAACCTTCTGTCCAAAGCAGTGGGTCTGGCTTTTATGGTGTGTGACCCTGAGATAGAGAGTGAGCTCAGGGCACGTGACAACTCTTCTCCAGACCTCACTCCCACTACATTCCTTTGCTCAGAAGTCCACAGCAGGATCTTGCATTGCCAGAGAATGTGAGCAGCCTAATAGAGCATGCTGCCATGGAGAGCTCCAGGGCTCCGTGCACTTCACCATCATCTCAGTGAGTTTGTGACAGTCACAGCTGGCTGCAAAGCCGGCTTGGGGCTAATGGGTTCAGATAAGACCCATATAGATTTTATGTAACTTCACACAGTTCTTGGCCGTGGTCACTTGGTCCAACACATTTTCTGTTCGAGGATCCCACATTATCATTTTCAGGGAAGGTATAGACAACGGGATTGGAGACATTGGTTAACTGTACTGTGGTATGAAAGCTCCTGTCCCCCTCAGAATTCATATGTTGAAATATCAACCCCCAAGATGAGGGTATTAGGAAGTGGAGACTTTGGGAGGTGCTTAGGTCATGAAGGTGGAGCCTCATGAGTGGAATTAGTGTCCTGATGGAAGACCACAGGGAGCTCCTGTGTCCCTTCCACTTTGTGAGGTATCAGTGAGAAGGCACCATCTATGAATTGGGAAACTGGTCCTCACCAGGCACAGAGTCTGCTGGCACTTTGAGCTTGGATCTGTTGCCTCTAGGACTGTGAGCCTTAGGTTTCTGTTGTTTATAAGCAGCCAGTTTTGTTGCAGCAGTTGGAACAGACTAAGACAAGCCCCCCATTTTGCTGGAGGCGTCAGGGTGAGTTACTCCATATGGTCTTGGCCTTGGCTGTCTGGCTCTAGAGAGGCCCCGGCTGGAAGACAGGGAGGCTCAGGGTGCCCTAGGGCCCCTCTGCTTCCTCGGGCTGCTCACACGACTCCACCTCCCTTCAGCTTCAGGCTTTCTTTCTCTGCGAAGGTGGCATCTCATCTCCTCTAAGGCCCAGTCTCCTCAGAGGGCTCCAGGTCCCTGCTCTTGTGGCCCAAGGTGACTGTTGAACCTCTCTTCTATCTCAGAGCAGGGGATTCGTTGCTTGAAAGCTTTTATTGGAGGGCTAGGGATTTAGCTCAGTGTTTCTGCCACCTGTCTTGCAAGTGCAAGGTCCCTAGTTCAATCCCTGGTACCAAAAACAAAACAAAACAAAAAAGAAAGGTTGTGTTGAAGAATGAGGTCCTCTTCCCACTGTCTGGAGTCTCTCCCTGCAGACTGACCTCAGCCCAAGGTGATGTCCTTTCCCTCCATCCAGGTGGGCAATGTGCACAGGGCTGAGGATGCCTGAGTCCCAGGAGCAGCAGAGCAGAACTTTAGTCTTTGTTGGCTGGTATACAAATAGCTAATTCTGCTGTAGGAAGGAAAGGAATACTGATACATTCCACAGCACGGATGAACTGCCAAATGTAACATGAATTGCAAGAAGCCAGTCGTAAAGGACATGTGCTATCTGCCGCACTCATCAGCAAGTCCACGGGGCGGAGGTTACAGGAAATAGACAAGGATGGCCTAAGGTAGGGTGTGGGGGCAGGCGTGAAGAGGAGGAGTTGGTGGCTGAAAGGGTTTCTGTTTGAGATAATAAAATGTTTTAGAACTGAGTTCTGATGGTTGGACAACTCTGAATAGACCAAAGCTCATCATTTAAATAGGTAAATTGCCTAGTGTGTGAATTACAATTGAATAATGCCCTGAATATTTTTAAAAAATAGGTGAGCTTTGTACCTCTTTTTCCCTACAACGGTTTATAAGATTGTACTGCTAAGAATGCTATTTAGGCTTTAATAATAATAATTATTATTGTTATTATTAGTAATAATAAATAGCCTGCAAATTTTATTCTTAGCTGTCATCTACGTTTGACACTCAATGCAGAAGACCGCTGTGTGTGCCGTGGTCCTCATTGCCAGGGATGAAGGGCAGCTGGTGGAGGTTAGGCAAGATGGCATTTGAGGAGTTGAGAAAATGCACCAGAAGTTCATGGACCAGGCAGGGGAATAAGCAGGGCTGGAGAGGTAGGAAGGGCATGGCAGGAGAAAGGGGGGAAGGAGGCAGGTCAGGGCCGATGCCAGCTCCAGTTCTTACTGCCTACACCAGGCACAGCAGGAGCCAGACCCCAGGAGACAGTTGCTGTCCAGCCTCAAGTAGTGTCCAGCTCCATCCTTCCAAGGGATGAAAGGCTGGCCTGCCAGGAGCCAGGGTCAGGACCTTGAAACTGTGCCCCCAAGGGCCACTAAAAGAATTGCAGTAGACAGAATGGCAGCATGTAGCTAACCAGCAAAAATCATCTGGGGAACAGAAAACGTTAATTAGACCCCCAAACAAGAGGAATAGAGTTCTTCCTTGCTCAGCCTCTTTTGATTTGAGACCTGTGTTCATACCCCACATGTTTCGAGGATATCTGGGAAAAATATTTGATATAATTTTTATGATTAAGGCCAAAATGACAAGAGGTCAACTGAGTTAGAAGAAAACAAAGCAAAACAAAAAACTTTACACTAAACATTTACCTGTAAAGAAATGAATTTGTTTCATGGGTTTGAAAGCAGGAATTATTTTAAGAGCTTGGCATTAGCAATAATCTATGTTTTTGCAGCTGCACTAAGTGTTAAAGCAAAGATCTGAGACAGAAAGAACAAGGTCCACTCCCCCATCCCTATGACAACCAGAAGGGGCAGGGACCTGACTCACACTCCACCACTACCTGTCCTCCTCAGGATGGACCAGGCCACAGGCCCCAGGGTTTCCTGATACCCCCAGGTGACTTCAGGGTCTGCTGGCTGCACTGACAGGAACCAGGCTCAGGACATAGTGAGCCTGGCTCCTCCCTGCTCCTTCCACTGCTCCTTCTACTCCAGGAGAAAGCAGGAGGCAGCAGGAGTAAACCTTGGACCTGTACCAGATGATCCCAACCTGTCCCTGTCCCTGCCCCTCCACTGCACAAACTACACATGTGCAGTCTAGGGCTGCTGCCATATATGCAGCTCCTTACTATCCTTGGCCAATATAAGAGGGCTGCTAGTTCTGAAGAGCTTCACATACTGGTGGCAGAGAACAGTGGAGGCAACAGAAGCTGGTGGGAGAGCTCCAGAAATCTGCCAGAAAGGGCCATAAGCCTCTACTGCTGAGGAGTTGATGGGATGGTTGGGAGCTGTATACAGCTGTGACATAAAGGGCACTCAGGGTCCAGAGCTGTGACACAGAGGGCTGGGAGGATTCGGGATATGGAGCTGACTCCAAGGGCTGAGGTCATAGGCACTCAGAGCCTGAAGCCCTTAATGGAGCTGCATATTGCTAATTTAAGATTTCCATTCAAATTGAACAAAAGAGCTCTAAGCTGATTGGTGACAAATCTGTGACTCCTTGGATCTTAGATGCCATCTTCTTGGAGCATTGGCACTCTTTTCCAAAGCCCCAGATGAAGTGAAGCAGTTGTCTTATTTAAGCAATGAAGTCAGGGTTCTGGGATGAAGCAGTATACTTGATGGGGCAGTTGGAGGAGGGTTTAGCTGGTAAACACTGCTGTACCCTCCTTAACCATGGGGGATATGTTCCAGGACCCCCAGCTGATGCCTAAAACTCAGTGCCTAAACCAGCACTAAGTCCTGTGTATACTTACTTAGTATGGAGTTTTCCTCCATACATACTGTAGGGCAAAAGGGCCTGTAGGCAAAGCTGAGTAAAGAGTTAAAACTTTATTGGAGAAGTTTCCCTGGGAACAATCTGAAGGACAGGGGTAGAGAAAGAGAAAACAAAACAAAAAAAGATAAAGAAAGGTGCCAAATGGCCTTGGGGCTTGCACCAAAAGACCAGAGAAAGAGCTGACAGGAAGAGTGCAGAGAAAGCCAAGTGCAAAAAGCCAGTAGAATGCAGTAGCATGCCGGGGAAGAGGGACTAACTTTGGGGAAAGCTGTTATCCAGTATGTACTCACGCCTATGCACTAGCGCACACACATGAATAAGACACCTCCTTGACAACCAGCTGTCTACCCCAGAGATAAGGCCTGTCAAGGACAAGCAGACAGAAAGAAGTTACACATAGACCATCAGAAAAAAATGACATAGACAAGGGAGCCCTGGTCTAATCCAAATACAGCCCAGGGAACCAATCAGGTTATGGCAAGTTCCAGGTAGGGGGGAGGATCCTTAGCATCCAATAAAAGCAGCTAGGAACAAAGGCCCAAAGATCCTTCATGTTTCTGGAGCCTCTGATTTTTATCGGAGTGGCTGGGTATCTATCTTCTCCTTTTTCCTCCTTTCCAATAAAGTCTTCTTTTCCAAACTTTGCATATTTAATTTGTTACTGGTACTGAGTTTATGATCCAGGTGAGCTGCTCGCCCCAGTGGAGTAGCAGTCCTCATCCCCTGGATGCGAGAATACAAATCTATGGTAAAGTTTGATTTATAAATTAGGCACAGTAAGAGATTAACAATAACTAATATAAGATAGAACAATTATACCAATGTACTATAATAAAAGTTATTTAAACCTTGTGAATTATTTCCAGAGTTTTCCATGTAATACTCTGTCATGGTTTATATCTAACTGTCCCCCAAGGGCCTCATTT